ATGCTCAGCTGCGGTTTGTTTATCTTTGAAGGAAAAGGCAGGAGTTCTTAAACAGAACCGCCCATATACATACACATTACAAAATCAGTCACATTGTCTGAACATTTTTATGAATGTGATCTAGGAGTCACAAAACTAGACAAAATGTAAATATGCCAAAATCTATTTTATTCAGTCGACTAAGAAAATAAACCACAGGGAATCCTGGTTTCTTAAAACTGGTAGACTCTCCTGCCTTGCTGAATGGAGAAAGTAAAGAGAGAAGTGAGTGGAGATGTTACCCCAGAATGGATGATCACAGCAAGAGAGCTGGTGATCTCACCCACAAAAGCATCATCACATGGGCACCAACAAAACCATTTTGCAAATGGTCTACAACTCTGCCTTCAGGGTCTGCGATTCTAGCACCTTCATACATTGTCTCCTTTTTGCTTTTATGCCCAAAGGACCTTCCTGAGCTCACAGAATGCTGCTGCCCCCTACACATTGCCAGCAGCTATCAATATTCTGATAATGTTGAGGCAACTGTTTCTCTAAGAAACATCTCTAACACAAACTTTTTAATTATTACAAAAAAGCAAGGCCACCTGTATCCAAAGCCATAGATAATAATAGCCACCAAATACACAAGTCAAATAGACTTTCAAAAAGAAAGACAATATTAATACTGGCTTACATTTGTGGTTTTCCCATGTGACAAGCGCTGTTTTAGGATCTTTACAAGCACTCATTCCTTTGGTCCTCATGAGAATTCTATGAAGTAGAAGAGACCATCCTCATTTTACAAACAAATACTAAACTAAGCTAAACTAAAGCACAGACGGTTCGGTAACTTGCCTAAGATCCAACAGCAGATAAATGTCACGGTTAGGCACAAAACACAAGCAGCTTGGCTTCAGGATCTGCAGAAATTACCATACTGTGATAATGGTGAAAATTTAGGTCATCAAAAAATTTAACTATTTTAATAGGCAGATAAAATAACAGGAAAAAAAGAAAATTGGAATTAATTTTCAGGCTGACGTTCTTTATCTTGAGAATGGTTCATATATTTGTTTGTGGTTTTGAAATGATGTCTAACACTGATAATCACTGAGTCTTTCCTAAACCTGGAGAGATAGCATTCTCTATTGTTCTATGGATAGATTTAAATTTCATGAGGTAAGGAAGTAAACAGAAATAGAGAAATTCTGTACTGCATAGTAAGCTAGCTCTACTCCCTATGGTAATACTTACAGAAATGATTCTCATTCAAATGCGTAAGGTACAAGAACATGCTATAATATATAAATACAAATTTATGATAGCATTTGAATTCATCAATAGATGGAAACATGATGAGACTATTGTGTTCCTTTGAAAAGACTCCTGTGTTGAACTTGTATACTTCAATGACTGGTGAGTGTTTGTGAGAGAGGGCTGGGCTGGGCTGGCTTAAGCCCAGCTTAGATGGGGCCAGGAATGGTTTTACATCAGGGCAAATGGGCACACAGAAGATGTGTGCTGAATGATCTCAGACGAGTCAACCCTTCAACAGGTTCAAGAGAATCATATGGTCCCAGGTGATTGGCATTCTAAGAGCTGTAGTATGCCGGAGGTTGAGGAGGCTCAGCAATCCTGGGCTCACATTCTAGGGAGATGAATATGTGCCTTACCATTCATACCTGTACTACACCTTCCCCTCCCTCATGCAAAGAAAGCACTCATATTTCTGGTTCTCGCTTCAAGGATACTGGTTCAAAATGACTAACACTTTCAGAGTGCACTTGAATGAGACCTGCAGAAATCACCAAATAGAATCTCAAAAACCTATTTAAGAATGAGTACAGGGGAAAACTTACTAGAGTCTGGCTGTGCTGCCTCCATGACGTGTTAGCTGCATTTAAGGATATCACCAGTCTTTTAAAACCAATTCCCAATTCTTAAAACACTAACAAAGGTATAACAATATAATAATATAAAACATATACGAAAGCAACCCTAGCACTAATCTACTTGTATCAGGGAAGACAATGAGTATTTTACTGCCACTCTGCTAATCTAAAAAACAAAGTAAAGCAAAAACTGGCTGGATCTGATACCAGGTGCTGAAGTTTCTGCTACCTTGTAAGTAGGGCTATGCACTGCCTCCTCCTGCCAAAAGGGTCTGCCCTCCCACTCTCTGGCCCATGGAGCCTGGCACACCATGTATACTATCTAAGTGAGTTTGCTTGTTTCTTTGTACTGAATGAATGGATTTATTTACTTATTTATTTTAGGGAATCTACCCTTCATCTTGTTCCTTGACTCTAAATTAACTTAGAATCTTGAGATTCTAAGTGCGGAGGCTCAGCCACCTCCATTTTAGGAGACCTCTGCTATACACGTTAGCTTCTATAGAATTTCAGTGAGTACAGAAGAAACCACTATACTTGGATCCACTTAAAAACAGACCACAGGGCCAACCTAGTGGCGCAAGGGGTTAAGCACAGCACTATGAAGCAATCCCCAGACCTCTCCTGATTCGCCCGCTGCTCCCCTCAGCAGTGTATTTCAGTCAGTCTGCCTGTTCTGTTCCCCACTCTGTCTCTGGTGAATCCTCTTATTCCCCTCCTCCTGCACCTCTGGCCTGTACCCCAACTCCTGTATGCATAAATAAATAAATCTTAAAAAAAAAAAAAGACTACATTTTTTCCCCTAAAATCTTGCCTGTGTGTTCATGGAAAGCTAACAGTTTCCTTGGGCCCAAAGCCAGTGATCATCCTGAGGTCTACTCACCCCAATTTTGCATTGGTGTCCTCTTACACAGCACCCCTTCTCTCTAACACACACTTACTTACCTGAAACTTAATCTGACATGAGCTTTTATCATTCACTGTACTCTGGGTTAGACATCTCCATGTCACTTTGATTGCTCCCCATCTCTCCAAAGACTTCATTCTAGATGTCAGTCCCCAGAGGGAAGGCGCAGTCCTAGACACTGCACTCATAAGTTTGAGAGGGGAAGGTCATAATGGCCATTCTCTCTGGAGCTGGCAAGCATAGAGGGTTGCTGTGTGCCCAGAGGCAATCTCTAGACACAACATCTAGCCCAGCACTGGCACAATTTAGTAAGTAACCAGTGCTTACTATACCTGACAGTAGGAAAAGGGGAAGCAAAACTCAAGTGGCAGTTTGGGGGGGTGGAGCTTCCTAGTTCACAAGAGTAGTCTGGATCTTTTTCTAAAACAATTCATTTGTCAGCAATTCTTAAAGTCTTTCATTTTGCAATAGTCATTATTCTATAAAGTCAATCAAGTATGAATGAACAAAATGGGATTCATGTGATTCATTTACAAAAAAGAAAAAGCGAGCTCACAGTCATAGTAAGAAAGTCAGAACAATCTACAGAGAAACAATAAAAGCTCAATTTTATATCTTGAGACATGAATGTTAGGGATGGCTATTCCCTTCATTTTGTGTGTGTGAAAGATGATTTTAAAAGCTATGGAAGCCATACATGACATAGAAATACAACAAAATACATTTTACTTCAGCAAATCATGTGCTTCCTGACAGTTGCTGAATCACTCTTAACGCAAAGTGATTTTTTGGAGCCAATTTTTCACGTGACTTTGCAGCAAGTTTCACTTTTAATAGATGAATTCTTCCTAATTTTTTTTCTTAGTAGATTTGATCAATTCTATGCTTGAAAGCAGCCATTCATGAAAAATGGAAATGGATGAGATTTTATTCTAATATCAAAATTAAAGAGAAGAAATGGGGTGCACCAAGGAGGGGTTTTTTTCCTTACAGATAAGGGCAGTCACTATTAGTGTGGGTAAGTGACCTGCCTTGCATCTCCAGTGGAGAAAAATGCTACTTTTTACTGTATAGTGGCTTGGTCAGCCTCTACCTGAGTTAATATCCAGTACCACAGAGCTCCCTGACACACACAGGCCCTATCTCCTCACTAATACAGGCATATTGTTTCAGGCAAGCATGATCCATGAGGGCGCTGGCACTCTATAAGTGGTTTCAAATCTCTGTGTGCATGAAGCTAATGGAATAAATATGATGTAGTCAGTCCAAAAGGGCTGAACCCCATTCCTGATTTTTATACCAATGCCAACAAAATTAGCCATCATACAATAAAATCAAGTAGACAGAAAAAAGTTTTTCTTAACTCTATTTTACATGAAATTTAAATGACTTTCAAGAAATAAAAAGAAAGGAGTGTCTACGATGTATCAATGTCAGATACTTTGAGAAACATACCCCATGTCTGGAATCTTTACGGGCCAGAAGCTCTGTCTCATAATCTCCAAGTGTGACCAACTGGAAGAAACAAGGGTCACTGGCCCATAAAGGAAGGATGAGTTGGGTGAATCTGACGACATCCATGGGGGGTGTAGCTCATGACGGGGGCCTAGAGGCTCCCATCAAAGTAGGTCCCCATTAAGGGGGCTGGTCAACAGGAGCATCTTCACACAGGTCAAACTTTAATGTCCTTACCTTTAATTATTCTGTAGCGTTCTTTCTCATCTCTGAAAGAAAAGCTATTTAACAGCATTTGGGAATTTCAGACTTTTTTATCCACAGTAAGAAAAATGAGGGATAATGCAACAACATGATGATGAATATTTCATTTTTAAATGTAGCTATTTCCTTTTCTTGGGAAAGAAGGATTTTGAGGTTCTGTGGACACCCAATTTATATTCATAACTTCATTTTAGTAAAATTAACATTTAATACTTTGCAGTCCTTTAAAGTCGGAGTACAGTAAGATAGCAAAAGCAAACAAAAAATTACCCCAGAATTTTAAAATGTCTAAATATCCACAAGAAAGATAACTCACATAGTGATAACTCTCTTGACTTTCTTAAAAATAGCTTCTAGTTAACCTAGTTGATAATAACAAATACAAAGACCCCTTTAGCAATAAAAAGTCTTCTTCAAGTCCTAGGCAAACCTCTCCAGCCAATGGTCTGGTCTTCATCCTTTCAAAATCTGGGGTGATTAATACTGAACCAAAGCCTCACCTGGGACTTCAGGAGAGAATCTCGCAGAGTGTCGAGATACAAAAAGTTTCAGTTCTTGGTCCAAATTGCATTCAATCAGGTTTGTGTCCCATGATCGGATTCCTGAGGGGGAAAAGGAAGACAGTTGAGAAACTGCTAGTTCATCATTTCAGTATGGTTTGGAAAACATCACTATAATATTGCTCAGGCTTTAAGGGAGGATGTGGAAACTCCTTTTCCAAAGAGCTTAGTGACTCAAAGTGGATGCCCACAAAATGGGAGGGCTGGGAAGGTCTACCCCCAGGCCACAAGGGAGGGATAACGAGCAGTGTGGACTGAACTTCTGCCCTTCATATAACATAAATGCAGCTTTCCTCAAAGAGCAAAAGAAAACAGTTATTAGGAAAATGACAGGCTTTACTCCAGGGAGGGAGTAGAAGGGACAGGAAGATGGTAAGTTCTGCAGCAGTTAAGCGGCCACCAGACCCCAAGGTTCACTTGTAGATGGCAAGAAATTGCAGGATGCAGGTGAGGAAGCCAGAGATGGGGATCTGGTATCCAAGTCCTGGTCTTTGGTTTAAATCTACGTTGTTACAATGTGCATGTGCATTTTGTGTGCATGTATGATTTCTTTTCTCTACTCATCCCAGTTTTTACCTTGGCTTCTCACCCCAGGATATCATTCCAAATTTTGTGTGATCTTTGATAAGAAGGTTGGATCTCAATCTTCAAAACCTGACCTGTCTGTGCTCCCAGGTATTATTTTACCTCATTAGCTTGGCAGGACACTCTTTATTCACAATTGTTAGTTGTGTTGAATTTTCTTATGCAGAAGAAAAGAAATGTGGCAACTTTTTACTTTTTAAAACGTCTAAGGAGGCTTCCCTGGTGGAGCAAGGGGTTAAGACACAACCTACGAAGCTATCCGCAGCCACTGCAGCGCGAGTTCGATTCCCTGGTGGGGACAGGGAGCTACCAACATGGCGCAGCAGACCTCTCCTGACTCACCTGATGCTCCCCTCAGCAGTGTTTCAGTCAGTCTGCCTATTCTGTTCCCCATTCTGTCTCTGGTGAATCCTCTCACCCCCGGGATCTCTGGCCTGTATCCTAGCTGTTGAATGCATAAATAAATAAATCTTTAAAAAAAAATTTCAGATTATATACTCCAAGCACCTTTTCATCTATGAAGACTATTTTCAAATAGATCTATGAACTCTACATAGAGGCAGAAATTTCTCATAGAATCTATGCAAAGAATTCAGGTGTGGAAAACTTAACACTCCTAAGCAGAAGCTAAATTATAAGGGAGAATTTTATGAGTCTCTCTGGAAACATTAACAGCCTCAGTTTGTATTTGTGTTAATGGAGTATTTAAATTTTAACAAGAAAGGCATGTTGAGATTTTGTAGATCTTTTTACTGCAGAAATGATAAATGGATTCTTTTTTGTTTCACAGAAAGCTTGACAAGTTGAGAGATGTGAATTCATTAGAATATTTTACCTCAACGTACCCATGATATACTCGTCTATTGTGAAAAATCACCCAGCTCCTATCTGAGCTGCTTAATTGGTAATTGTTGCCTGGATTCTCTGTGCTCCAGGTCTAAGCTCCACTTCGTCTTCTGGCTTGTCAAATTGGGTCAATAAGTTAATAACGAGACATGAGTATTAAATCCAACTCATACAATTCTCTGCCTTTGTTCTAAAGAATGCCCAAATTGCTATAACATTTGAATGTCTTCATTGGGGGTTACTCTTAGACTGGCTCTTTCATTGCTGCTTGCCATTGTCCCGTGGCTTCAATTAACCTGTCATGACACATGCAATTAATGTTTGCTTTATATTTCATAAATTTCTGAATGTATGACTTATAATTCAGCAATGGAAGAAGTACAGAACAGTAAAAAAAAAAATAATAATTTTTAAATCACACTAATAAACAGCTGATAAAAAATATTGTTTCTCATTTTTATACACCTAATGAAATGAAAGTCTTAGGGTTCTCGTTTCAAGAGAGCAATTTCCAGCCAAATTATTTCTTAACAATACATAATCACTACTAACACTTATAAAGGTTACAATGCCCTTAGGGGTTATTTAAGTTGGAAAGGAGGGTTTTGGAACTAAGTCACTTTCTGTACCAATTTTAGAAATAAAATACTTTGTAACTATGTTGTACCTTCGACTGGATGATTATCAGTAAGGAAATTAGTGTTTCTCAATAAGGTTCATATTGCATTTAGTAGGCTTATGTATCTCTCCACAGAAAAAATATCTTCTTTGGTCCTGCCCACGTTCTTCCCTCTCTGAGTTCATGGCTGGGGTAGGGTGCTGGTAAAGAAGTTGTGAAGAGGCTTTCTCTGATGGGGCCTACAGAAGCCATGATAAATTACTCCTTTTACTCACTATCCCCCCAACATATGTTCATCAACCGTCACCCTAAGTCTTTGCTTCCCCAATACTCTATGGAGACTGTCTCACCCAGGTTGGGGAAGAACAACATCATCAGTTAGAGGAAATGAATTTCCAGTTTTCAACCCCCTCGGCATCCTGAGAGGTCTCCTGCCTCATCAGGACTGTTGCCTAGCCATGGAAGTAGGTAGTATCTCTGTCTGTTACCAGTTTTTCCAGCAAATGGTTAACAAAGGATCTTTCCATCTCAGGCTTTTGATCCCAGGGAGTAGCAGCACATAAGGGGGTGCCTACAGTGCACGTGAAATTTACAGATGGACAAGGAGAGAAGTGGGGGTGTCATCACAGGAAGATCAGGAACGAAGAGGTAGGATCCCTACTGTCTACAGGCGATGGCTCACTAAGCTCAAGCAAGCATTTTGCAGGATAGTGTAAGGAAACCAATAATGAAAAATAAAAGCACCTCCTCTCTAAAGGCTAAAATCTATATTCCTAAGAGAGTCAGTAGGTAGAAGGAAGCAGAGACATGACCGTGCATTGCTTGTTGAAATGGCACATAGGTTCTACTGGCAGTTATTTGAATCTTTGACAAATTGATTTTCTTCTATGTGCTTCATTTGGTCCCTCTGAAAAACAGGCTTTGAAAATTTTTTGCAAGTACCTAAATGGTTAACCTATACCTATAAGAGTATTTGTTAAACTAGGCTAAAAAGAGATCTGAAGTCAGATTAAAACTATAAAGAAACAGAATTAAAACAAAGGAAATGTGAAAATTCAAGATGGCTTTATTTCTCAGAGAAGAAAGAATTCTTCTTTTTTCCCTTGACCTAACAACAACCTTCAATTTGCTTTTTATTCCTTTTTGATAAGCAAACAACTTGATGCATTCAAAATATATAGCTTTGTGTAAAACAAGTACCTTACATACATGGCTCATCACTTCAAAGCATCAATGATAAATAATTCAGGTTTTGGGGTTGCATCTTACAGTAGAAACAAACAAAAGAAGTGATTTCTAATCATTTATTCATTGTTATAAATATTAGAATTTTTTTTTAAGTAAATCCTTAGAGAAGATTAACAATGAATCAGCAATTCAATGACCTTAAGTCTGGGGACTGGCTTGTATTTCAGCATGGATCACAGAATCCTCAGTAGATAATGCCAATTAAGCAGTGCAAGCAGAAATCCATCTGTCTTTTGACTTTGAAAAATAAAGATGAATTTGATATTTTTTAACACTATCCAACATTTCTTTCAACTCCCACCATTTTGTTGGAGCTTTCTTCCCCCCTGATGAAAACTAACCCCCAATTCTTTCCTAGGTTCTTATACCCATCTTAGACTGAAGGCATTCAACAAAGTAAGATTAGAAAGTTACAATGTAATCAGCTAAACTTGTCTAAAAATCCAGGGCAAGAGATATTACACACCCCCATCTTTGGATGAACAGATCCTGCTGATTTCCAATGTTAAGGAGAGGACAGTGAATACTCTTAAATAGTCACTGAAAGCATCAGACTGACACTTAGTATTCATTAGATGTTTTTTAAGAAAAATAAAGCCATGAAAACTTCTTTCACAACAGTCTAGAATTCCATTTGCAAAGCATGAATGGCTGTAATCCATGTTCCAAAATAAATGGGAGAAGGTGCAACTCTCGTTGAAAAAAAAAAAAAGAAAAAGGAATGGCTGTCAAGTTCACATTGAGAGTTAAATAGGAAGGGACAGAGCAGATACCAAGGAGTAGCAGATGGCAGGCAGCAATAGTGGTTTCACATCAAGTCCTGTATAACTAACTAAATAAAGCAAAAGGAAAGACTGTTGCTTCAAACTTGAGTATAATGACCAAACCTTACATGATGTTTTGGGAATACAGTCAAGAAAACAAATGACCATCATTCTTCCTTGGTTTCAAGAAGCATTTATTAAGCATCCATACTGGAACATGTCAGGCATGTAAATATACTGCTGTGCCACCATCTTCCTACAGATTTATTTTCTAGGCTTCCCAAAGAGCCCTCAGTATTTGGATTGCAAAAATTCAAGTCACCAGGGTCTCCAAAGCCACAGAATTTCAGTTAAGAAGGGAGGGAAGCAAGAATAATAGATGATGAGCTGCTTTCCCAGTGCTGCAATCAGAGCCAACCCCCTAGAGCATCTCCATCTTGCTTCACACAAAATGGCCCATGGGCACCAGCAACAACAGCAGTGATACCAGAGTGACCTCTGGGGGAGGCCCAGATGAGACCTGAAGGCGAAGGTGGCAGCAGGTCAGGCTTAGGGAAACTCAGCTGGCCGACCCTGTTGCTAACTCCTATCTCAGATGGTCTGAAAAGCTAGGGAGTGGTATTTTCACTTAGCACTGAAAGGTCCTGCAGCTAGAGCTGGATCAGAGACCCCAGGACCCAGGAGAGCAATCTCCAGAGGAAAAGGCAGCATCTGTTACTGTGTATAAGGAAATGGCTCTGCTTACTCACTAGGCTGATTCTTAATGGGATCAATACAGCCATTTCGGAGATCTGTGCAGAAACCTGACCAAATTAGGGAATTAAAAATCAGGAAGGCATAGTGATCGACAAGTAAACATGAGAGGGTTTCTGGGATTCTAGTAATGTCTGTTTCTTAATCAGGGGGACACAGGTTATGTTCGTTTTGTGAAAATTGACCAAGCTCTTCATCTCTCATTAGTGCCTTTTCCTTTCTATGTAATATTTCAGTAATTTTTTTTTTTGTAATTGTAAAAAAGAAAAAAAAATCTGAACTTCTCCACTAAATGTTAGTAGTATAAAGACAGAGAGCACTTCACAGCATTACTAGGATGCATCCATTTTATCGTGAATCAGAAGCAGCTTGAATAAACCCCCTGAGGAATGGAGAGCTAAAAGGATGATCAGCAGAGTAACAAAGCAGGAAGATAATCATGGGTGAAGGTGACTGCTGAACAGCTCCCTGCATGGGGCGCTGCCCACAAATGGATGTCTGTACAAAGGCAAGCTCTGAAAATTGCTGTGTCTGATGTCCCCCTCATCTTAGCCTGTCCTGCACTAACATCGTGACAGGGCCAGAAAGCCAGTGATGCTGCAGTGCTGGCACTTCTGTCACTTACGAGTGGTGTGACCTTGAACTGGTCGCCTTATCCTTCCCAGTTCTCTGCGCCCCCATCTCTAAAATGGGGGTGATGGTCCCTTTCGGGGACCATCGGGAATGGGTAAGAGAATTTTATAGATACAAAAGCACCTCCTAGTGTTTTATGAATTCCCTGGCAACGGTGCTAACAAATAACACATTAAAAAAAAAAAAATCCAAAGTCATTGATTCCTACAGCAGCCACACCCAAAGTCAATACGTGTGAAATTTTCCAAGGAGAAAACGTGCAAACTAAATTAGGACAGATCAGGTTAAAGGCCTCTAGTTTTATAATAAAGGGTTGTTGGCATTTCACTACTGAAACCTCTATTTCTTGAATTTTTACGTATAAAATAACTGCTTCCTATTCACGTTTTATTTCAGCTGAAAAGGAAAATCAGTGCTTTAAAGTTAAACAAAAGAACCAGGTCTACAACTCCAGTCCCCACCCTACAGCCTTTTGTTCTAGGGACAAGTGGTCGTTTCCAAACGCAGTGAGAGAAGACAGGCGTTGTTGGCCTTTTTTTTTTTGTGGGGGGGTGTGTGTCTGTCTGTCTGTCTGTGTGTTTTTCATCCAAAATAAGGTTTTCCTTTCGCCTTCTACTTGGGGGACGGGGTGGGCGCGGGAAAGGCGGCTCCGTGAACGCCCTTTGTCCGCCTCGGGCTGCCGTAGAGACCGCAGTGCGGACTCACCACGCCCACCAGCCGGTGTCTCGGGGCTGAGCCGCGCCGGCGATGCCCGACGAGACCAGAGCGCAGCCTGGGGCTGCGGAGGGGCCCGGCGACCTCTGTCAGGGGCACGGGGCGGGCTGGCACGCCGGGGATAAAGGGAAAGGCACAGGCCAGAGCCGCCCACCGGGGGACTTCGTGCGCAACAAAGCCGGGCACAAGGAGAGGTGGAGACGTGCGCCCCCCCAAACCCGAGGCCACGGCGGAGCGTACACTGGGCCCCAATAGGGGCGTCGCAGTGAGGGGGGCAGGTGCGGCGGGCGGGCGTGCGGGGGCACTGCGGCACCCGGGTGGGGAAGCCGAGCCGGCCGGTCCGCGCGCCCCAGGCTGCTCCCGCCGGACCCTCGCGGCCCCGCCCAGGGCGCCCGCAGAACCGCTATTCGGCCCCTGCGCTCCAGATGAGCGCAGCGGACGGGGCGCGGCCCCTACCCTCCCACCCCCCGCCTTTCCCAAGCCATTCCTCCCGAGGCTGAGACTTTTAAAAGAAAGCCCCACCCCGCAACTTGGGGGTTCCATTGTCCTTTCAGAAAGCGCAGCCAAGGCCCCAAGGGCGGTAACGAGGCGGACGCCGTCTGGGAACCGAGCGCGGGCGGTTCTCCATCTCTGCGTCCTAGGGGGTGGGGGGAGCGGGCGTGGCCCGAGGACTAGCCTAGTCATTCCGAGGAAAGAAGAAAGATCGGGAGGTTGTAAACCAGAAAAGGCACTTGTCGGGGACTGAGGAGGATCCCCACGCGGACCACGCAACACTGCGTTTCAGTCCCGGGTCAGCCGGCGGGGGTGGGGAGGTGGGCGCCAGTATTTTGCGGGGAGAAGAGGGAGCTGAAAGGTTGCATCAGGTCCTCCCCCACCCCCACCACCCCTCGGTGCTTCCTGCGGCTGCGGCTTTATTACGACCTTTGCTCCTCTGACACCTGCGTCTCATTTAGCGGGCGAGGCTGTGACCAGCACGGATCTGAGGACCCCGCTTGGTGACAGATCCCTCCAGGTTAGAAGCGAGTCTCCTCCGGGGTCTCCAATCTAGTAAATCGTATTATTCTCCGAAATTAGCCCAGAACAGAAAAGTCCGGACGGAGTGCGGCAAAATCAGCAAGAGGTGTGGGTGCGGGGCGCGGGAGAAAGAGGGGGGCGCCGCGCCCTGGGCGGGGTCGCTTTTGCGCGTCTCCCCCCCCCCCAGCGCGTCCCCTGGGGGCTCAGGGCCTCTTACCGAGCTCGATGTTGCCGATGGCGCGCCGCAGGTGCTCCTCGGTCACGATCTCCCCGACGACCACCAGCAGGTAGAACTTGCTGTCGAGGAAGCGGTGCGACAGGCTGGGCGAGGTGGACGCCACCGGGTTGGCGATGCTGTCGGACGGCTCCGGCTCGGCGGCTTCCACCACCACGGTCGCCATCCTGCCGGCCCTCTAAGCCTCCGCGAAGTGCCCCGCTCGGCCGCCGCTCTCCTCTGCGGCAGGAGAAAGGATTATCTCCGAAGGTGCCGTCTCCGCTCCGCCCCCTGCGTCCCCCCCTCCCGGCGCCGCGCGCCGCCTCCCCCGCCGGTCTCCAAGTGCGCGCGGCGGAGAGGAGCGGGGAGTGAGAGAGGGCGGGGAGGCGTCGGCGCTTTTATAAGGGGACTAGGCTGGGAGCTCGGGAGGAGGAGGAGAGGACCACCCGGCACAGCCTCACGCGGTGGCTGCCTTCGCTCTTGCAGCCGTTGGCCCAGAGCTGATGTCATCTGCAGCAAATCATCTCGCCCGCGGCCCGGAAGCTGGAGGGACGAGGTGTACGGACAATGGTCTGGGCAGGGCTGCGAGTCAAGGGGCTGGGGGACCCTAAGGATTGTGCTGCTGCGGTGAAGGGGAAAATAGTCTCCACCGACAGCCTGCAAACACGCACTACCCGCTGTAAATCCTCACTCGTGCAGAATGGGGTGGGTGTCCTTTTTATCAGAGTGGGGGTGTTTGCCTTGCCTGAGGTGCACAAGTCAGGCCATTGCCTGCTGCCTGGTCTTGGAAGAAGCGAGATTCTCAGGAGACATGATCGCTACAGCAGATCTGCTACTGAGGGTACCCCGCCCAGGAAGATGAACCTGTCTTTCTTTGACCTTGTGAATTTAGGGAGACGTTTACCACCTTTACTTAAGGAATACATCAAAAATGCAAAACCTAAGCCTTCTGTGCAGACTTTGGACCCCGTTCTGCAAAGCCCAATGGTCAAAAGTACTGGCTTTGTGGCGCTTATGGGAAATGAGAATACAGATGCATTATCCTAGATACAGATTTCTTTCCTTAATAATGTGCTGAACAGATAGTATCAGGCATAACAAAGAATAAAGAGAAGATTCTGTCTCTACCCAGTAGGATTACAGTGACTATAGTGTAATTTTCAATACCTTGGGGAACACATGAGCAAAATTATTTTATGTGACTATGATGTCTTAAAATATATGTAGATGGGGAATTTTTATTGCTTTTGTGTATGTTTAGGGGAACTCATAAAAATGTTTAAAAGCAGCCCACCTACAGCCATTTCCCTACAAACATTCTGTTCCAGGAAAGGGGTGGCAGTGATGAAGAAACAAAATGTGCAAATCATCATAAAAGACTGGAGGACTAGATGCAAAGGGGAGAGGACTAGGTAGACATTAGAGTAATCAATATTTTTAATACTGGAATACATTAATAAAAAACTAATCACTTGAATATGTTAAGATTTCCAAAATAGCCCACTGGCTTAGCTGTTCCACCATGACTTATCAGGAATGTACTCTGTTTGTAGCTCTTTCCTGAATTCCCTGACATGGGCGACATGGTGGGCAGCCAAAGGCAAGAGCCCTATCCTACCTGCCAGTCTGATTAATGGGGAATAAAGATGTCTGGCCCATGGCACTTGGAGAATTGCATTCATTGGTAAACAGTGACAAAAAGTTCCCAAGTGACATGGCAACAGGACATCTTTCTTGGTGAAGAGAAGGCATTTGATTATTGGTGAAAGGTGAGGCTAACACCAACACCCTTAACGTGGGGAAGATAGGATAAGCACTGTTTTCCAAAGGTCAGCCATTGGAACCTAGCTTCATCTAGTGACTTTTTCCTCATTTTCTCTGAAACGCTGTTACTTTCATTTATGTCTTAGTATTTTTTAGCTCTGTTTCTTTAACTTTTTATGAAATTCTTTATTGATGTATAAATGGAAACAGTAATATCAATTGTACATAGAGAGTATCCTTAAGAATAAACAATGAAAATAACAGTGTGATTAAATTCCTGCCATTTACTGAAGTCTTTGAGCCTGAAGTGTACCCTAAATTAAGCTAGAAGATTAGCAAGTTGTTTAGAACAGTGTTAAAGGTATACTAGCACCTAACAGAGCTGTTCTCCATGTCATAACAGAAGATTGGATGAAAATAACAACAGAAGAGCTTCTTACTGTGTGAGTCAGTGTAACTAAATGCCATCATGGTGAACCACCTAAGTCACCACCCACACTTTGAAAAACAGATAAAATGGGAGAACATAGACTAGAAATGTTGACTGCTACTGTGTAGCTTGTAACTTTGGGCCAAATGATTTATTCTTTTTGATCTTCAGTCTCTTCAACTGTATAACGGAAGGGATAATACCTTTACAACTGTGCAAGTAATTGTATACAGTATAGGATATAAAGTATCAGTACCTAAAAATAGTGATTGGAACATAGGAGGCACTTAAGGCATGGCTGATAAATTGACCTGTTTTCTCCCACTTTCTCAAGACAATGGAGTGAAAACACCCTTATAAAATTTCAGGTAATATCAGATAAAACTACCAACATTTCTGCAAAAAGAATTAAGTGACAAAGCAAACTAGAAAAGTAGACCCCTTGCCCCAAACATCTTCATCTCAAAAAAAAAAAAAAAAAAAAAAGACACACTTCTAAGGAGGAAGAAGAAAGGGAAAATGAACAGTAATGTCTGTATTGCCTACTGTCACTTGACATCACCTGGATGTCCCCAAGGCACTTCAATCTCAACATGCTTCAGATCCAAATCCTCTTTGCTCTCCATACCTGATCTTTTTTTACTTTTCCTATTTGAGTGAATAATATCCCCATCTATCCTATAATATAAGCCAGAAATCTTATAGGCGGGTATCTTGGACTCCTTCCCGACCCTTAGTTCTAGATGCAATTCATTGTGGAGTTAGGTCAATTTTACCTCCTAAGTGTGTCTTCAATTCATCCCCTTCTCTCCATTATCACCACTCTAGTGGTGATACCATCATCTTGAGAGGCAGAGTATGGATTAGAAATTGGGTTGTTGAAATCACATTGTCTGGTTTTGAAACCCATACCATAATTTATTAACTGTGTGACTTTGAGCAAGATGCTTAACCATCTAATGGTTAAACCTTATGATTTCCTCATTTCTCACCTACCTCACAGCATGAGTGTTTAAATAACGTCTTATATCTAATAAGCACTCAACAAGTTAGATGTGTTTTCTTGTTATTATTATTCTTTAACATTTTGCTAAGGGAAATTTCAAACTTTTTTAAAAGTAGAGAGAATAGTATAAGAAACCTCTTTGCACCCATTACCCCATTCAAATAATTTTTACAGCTTGTTTATTTGTTTAAATCAAGATCTAAATGAGCTCCATATTAATTGATTGAGATGTGTTAAGTTTTTTATAATCTAAGTTCCTACTCTGCCTCTCCCCCCACCCCCCACTCTTGCAACTCTTTGGGAAACTGTAGAAACATTTGCTCTGCGGTTTCAAATGTCTGAATTTTGCGGATTGCATCCCCATTGTGTTATTTAATATGGTCTATATCTAGAATTTTCTGTATAACAGTAGTTAGGTCTAAACTACAGGGGTATTTTTGTTTGTTTTTTACAAGTATACATCGTGGATGATACTATGTTCTTTCAGTGGAAAGGCCTTGTTTTGAGATCAAGGCATGGATGATCATTATCATATCCATTAAATTCATTAAGGGTTGGAAACAATTATATTCTATTATTCTTTCTTCATTTGAAAGTTAGAAAACTTCTGTTTGAAGAAATATTATTGTCACTTGGTTCACCTAGCTACAAAAGAAAAGATAAACATACAATTCTTTTTCTTTATTTACATATTTTCAAAAATAATTAGTTCATCCAATAACATCCTCCAAAGGTGATTAGTATTTTTGCATCATTGAAAATATTACTTGCAGTCATTTCCATTGACATATATATATATACATACATATATATATATATATAGAGAGAGAGAGAGAGAGAGATACATATACCTCTCATGCCTCTTTCAGAGAAACAACAGCATATAAACAGCATAGATACACAGTTTTGCTATGTTGCTTTTTTTTGCTCAACAGTATATCCTGGAGAAAAATACATTAATAGCATATTTTAACATTCCTCATTCCTTTTCATTCCTTTTTACTGTGGAATAGCAACCCATTATCTTTATTTACTATAATTTACTAAACTACTCCCCTATTGGTTAACATTATCGAGTTATTTCCATTTTCTCTGATATTATAAGTAGTATTTATAACTATTGTCCATCCTGTGCAGCAGAATAGTCACTGAACAGAACATGAGCTGGGACTTTCATCCAATCCATGCTTCATACCACATGAAGAATTGTCTTTTTTCTTCTGGTCGTATTACCCCACCTCCACATGGACTTCAGCTGCACTGACCATATGTCAGGCCTTGCTTCTTCCAAACTTAGGACATTTTCTCTTTTCCCATGCCAAGAGCACAAACTATTAATAGTTAACTTCACCTTGTTAAGGTCTGTTGTCCTGCAGGGAGCATTTCAGCTATCCTTCCTTAAGGATGCCCTGTCCAACCTTCCTCCCTAGGACAGTTAACCTTACATACAATCTTTTAGCTCTTTGTCCCACTTTCTTTTTTTGCAGTACTTGTCATAATTGTAATTTTACATTTATATATAAAAATTAAATCTAATTTTACCACTCTCCACTATGCTCTATGGAGGCCAGGGCCATGTCTGTCTGTAACCCTCACACTCACAGTTACCTACACCCAGTCCATCCCCCAGCTCTCCTGAGGATTCCTAGTGCCCCGAACAGAGAGTAGGTTCCCATTAAAAGTGTACTAGTGGCCACATGAATACCTTCTGTAAGTCATGTTACATTGCTGGTTCCTTTAAGTACATTGCTTCAGTGAATTCCCACAAACTTCTCAAGAAATAGGCATTTTTATTCATCATTTTGATGGTTTTAAGTTCTGTATTGTCTCATTTTCATGTCTGATCTGTATAATTTGTATTTTCTGTCTTTTTCCTATACGGTTTTGCCAATAAATTTTGTCAGTCTTCACCAAAAACCACGCTGAATATTACTGATGGTTTTCTATTGTTTGTGTATAATTTTTCATTGATTATTTTCTTATACATACTAATTCACTCCTAATTTCTGTGGGTTTTATTTTCCTACTACTTGAGCTTTTGAGAGGCTAAGGTAATTGATTTTCAGTTTTCTTTCTTTTCTAATATAGGCAATTAAGGCTATACATGTCTCTCTAATTTGTGCCTTAGCTGTCTTCACTCTACACATTTTGATATGTAGTATTTTCATATCACTCACTTCATAATATTGTATAATGTCATTGTGAGTTCTTCTTTTGCATTGAGTTATTATTATTGCTACTTGACAGATG